CGCTTCCCTGCTGAGCCTTCTCACTGGAGTGGAACAGATTTTGGTAACCCTGTTCCAGCTCCATCTCTCGGGTCACCAGGTCTTGCTCAATTTCGTGAGTGTCGTCCCAGTCATACCTGCTCTCCCTCCACTCAAAGAGATCTCTGAACCGGGCTTGTGTAGGGCTCCCAAACTCAGGTATTGCAAAAGTCTCCCATAACAAGCCAGGACCATCAAACTCCTCTCCCTCTGGCTTGTCATGCTCGGCTGTCCAGGGCTGGTACTGTGCCCCATACCACCAGAGCGCCTGGTAGGCATCTTCTAGCCACATCTCCTGCTATACTCGGAGCTCCAATTCCTTCACCCATTCCTCCAGGAGCTGCTCTCCCAGGAAGGGCATCCGCAGGGCCACTTGCTTCTGCAACCGCTGCTCTTCACTGGGGAGACTCTCACCCCGCTGGTATTGTACATTATCCAGGGCCTGGTACCAGATGCTTTTCCTTAATGCATCCCGGCGATCCAGGTCCTCCTCCTCGTATAACATTGCTGGTTCCTTTCTGTTGCTTTTAGAGTCGCTGTACTGGGACATGCGTTGCCCCCACTTGTAAATCCAAAGAAATGGTGTCTCCTGTAGCTGTCCTTTTGGCTGTAGGAACGATCCCACCGCTGCCACCAATTGTAACGGACCGTTTTGCACACAAGGGGCTAAAACCGTTTAGGCGATCGTCCCCTTTTCAGAGATGCAGGCACAGCTACTGCAGAACACCAAACTCCTGAACAGGATACCAAGTAGCACTCCAAATTCCCAAACTGGAACCTCACGAATAGCTGCTAGCACCCAAGCAGCTTACACTCCTGGCAATCAGACTGGAACAGCATACAGTAAATCCCCCCAAGAACGAGACAAAGCTCTGTGTTGAGGGTCAAGCAGTGAACAGACAGAGCTGTGGGTTTATTGTTCTTATGTATACATTCTTACACATTAGTACCACCCACAGGGTTTTGGAACACAACCAATAAACACATACAATACATTCAGACACTCCCACACAAAATCCTCCCTTCTGCCTGTGATACAATTAACTTACACAATGGGTAATTTAATTAGCACAAGCAGAGAAATACAATTTTTCCACATTATTCATAACTTGAAAAGTATGCATCACATTCACATAAAACTTAAATTTTCAGAATCAGCATACTCCAAATACAAACATACGTCAAAATCATACAAATTGGTCCAGTGGTTCAAAAGATAGATCGTAGTCCTTTGTGACCACAGGAAGCATAGCTTTTCTGCCCAAAACCAGTTCCACAGAGTCTTCTATCCTGGAGATAATTAGAAGTAATCCAATTATCTCCAAAGACAGAGGCAAAACTCCATTGAACACATAGCAGCAAAAAGACAGTAAAATACAATAAAATACACAAGGTTACATTTATGACATAAAATACAGACATGCAACATATACCCAGATAGCTTAGGTCTAAGCGCACATTATTACTGAATGGCGCTCAGAGCACACACATACAGTTCAATTGCCATGGAGCCAAAGTCTTTCCCATAGTCTTTCATTATACGAATGGGCTCCATGGCATAGCTATCTAGGGTATCACTGCTCAAACAGGGCAAGCACCAAATGACCCGGCTTTCTTGTCTTTGCAGGGGAAAATCAAGCCTTTTAACATGGGGCCATAATCCAAAGGCAACAGGCGAGCAACCAGGCTTCTCCAATGCAATGTGGCGAGATTGCTCTCGTGACACTTTTTATGGGGTTATTGCATGTTTTGGGGTCCCTGTGATGTGTTTTATGAAACTGTATTTCTCTGTCTGCGATAATTAGATTACCCATTGTGTAAGGTAATTGGATCACAGGCAGAGGGGAGGATTTTGTGTGGGAGTGTCTGTGTGTATTGTACAGATTGATTGGTTGTTCTGTAAAACCCTGTGGGCAGTACTAAGTTTGTGGATTGGGAATAAAAGAGGCTGTATGTACCAGTACAGTCAGTTCCTGCTTAACCCTCAAAGTGAAGTGTCGTCTCATTATTGGGGGAGGATTTATTGTATGCTGTTCCAGTTTGACTGCTAGGAGTGTAAACCTATTCGCATGGTTTTTCCTATTCGGCTGTATACAACATTTATATGCTTGAGAGCATTCATATGCTTCTCCGGTTCGGTGGTTGTGGTGTCTGCTGCAGTGCTTGGAGTCCTCAGGAAGCGCTAGGAGCATCCTTCAACGGAGGTACCCAGTCGGGGTGCCAGGTGATCCGTTACAACGCTAATTTTGACTAAATTGCTACTAAAAAAGTGTCCAAATATTTATAACGGCAGACATTTTGTGCTAAGAAAGAAATTAAAAGTGTATATTGCCAGAGTCACTCAGAACAGAGCGGACTCCATTTTGCTATCTTCAGGATAACAAAGACACATAATTTCCTTGCTTTCACTAACCACTGAGCCTGAGCTAAGGAATGCATTATATAAACACAGACACTAGTGACAGAGAAGACTAAGTAATTAATTTTACTTACTAAATTTTACAAGGTTCCATTGTAAGTAAGGGGTGAAATTGAGTTTAGAACTGTCAAATTTACAAATTACGATCAAAGTAGTTGCCACAAAGACTGAGACAAACGCTTTGAACTAACAGCAAATCTAACTTATGGTAGTCATTTTAGATAAGCCAAATGATGTCAAAATCGTCATCAGGAAACGTTAACACTTTCCTGGATAGGAAGGTTTAGTGAGGCGTGACTGCCCTCTATGGATCAAATACCTAAACTGCAATCCATAGATTGAACCCACCTTCAGTTTCCTATTGGCCTTATCAACTAATGACGTACAGAGAGTTTGGCCCTTTAAAAGTTAGGACAAAGGGAAGAGAGAAGTTAGTTGGTGGAGTTTGGGCATTCAGATTTGGACATGCAGAGAGAGAGATTCAGGACACTCTCTGGGACTAACACTCAACTCTTAAACTCCTTGACACTTAAAATTTACTGATACTTTCTAACCAACATCATTTTTCTCTATTACTCACGCACCTCCATACAACCAATCATACTCGCAAGTTCCTGGGACTACCTACTCATCTGATGAGAATACCTACATAACTGGTAATTATGCTGGTTTTATTTAATTAATCTAAATTAATTAAAATTTACTAATAGCATGATATATGACTGGATAAATCACGTTCAGATTTCAATATTTAGAAATCTTAGTTAACTAAAGAATATATAGTTATAAACATTCCATTCTGCAGGTGGAATTAAGAATAATTATATATTAATGTGATATTATCACGTGTTAGCATACCGCTGTTTTTATCCAGGTGTATTGATTTGCTCTAAAATAAGATAAGATATCTTTTTAGGCAAATTAAAATTCGACTTATAGAATCTGGTAGATTATTCTTATTAGATGGTTCCAGGAAATGATTAATGAGTTGGTTCGAATGTTATTTTAATTGAAAATTACATGAGAATAGGATATTATATGCCTAGGAGGATCCAGCCAGCATTGAAAGGGTTACTCAGTTGATTTAACTGTTAGCCAAGGATTTATGGCTTTTCGCTGTGTGAAGCTTTACTTTCTGTCTGTGAAGTACCCTCATAAAACTTATTAAGTGACAGGTGATGCTGTTAGCTATTGGAACGTGTATAGCCATTCCATTGTATTGCATACTTATGTTATACTAAATATTCACTGATTATTATCATGCATGCTGCCTAATATTATTGTTATTTTATTTGTCACAATAAATTAAATCTATTTTTATAACAAATTGTGATTTTATTTGTATGGAATACATTTCACTTACATGATAACGATCTCTAAGATCTAAGAGAATTGAAATAGTGGGCGATTCTCGACTGTTTAATATTATCATCCCATAAATATCCCCACAAAAGACTGGACATACCCAATTTTAAATACCCTGTGTTGTCTACTATTTCAAATGATATGGCACGGTGGGGGTAATTGTGACAGAACACACTGTCACTGAAATTACTGTGTTCACCTACTTTTTCCCTATTTTGTTCGGTAACCAAACAAAACCATCCCATCCCATCGTTATACCTCCCGTACTCAACGCACCCGTATACTTTCTAACTTTGTTCACCCCTATTGACACCTTAATAACGATTCACACAAGTGCATGGAACTAAAATTGGACACTTTACCTTGTGAACACCACTAAACTTCCATCCTTGCCTGCGTTTGTTTCTTTACATCCTGGAAGAGCACTGTTTGGTGAAATAGTTCGCAAGGATTAGGTGAACACTCTTTACAAAACAGCTAAAGCATACGTTCGGTATTTTACTAGTTTTTGTACTCCTAAAAGAGACCGACGGTCACCACCTTTCTCCTGGAACTATTTTGGGCAGGTGCCTCGTGTGCTGTCGGTCAAAACTTTATCCCTGTGGCGATTTGGCTGTGTTAGTTGAATCTGAGCAATTTTCGGATATGTTGTGCCCTCAGATCAAGGCTATCCGGGTACAGGGGCGGACTAAGAGCCTTTGGGGCCCCCGGGCAAAATTAGATCCCAGGCCCTTTGAAGGCCAAATATATGTGCATTATAATAAATGTTAAATATAATTCATAATACGGCATTCCTTTGGATGTGTGTATTGTGAAGACCTGTGTATCAATGCATGTTTGTATTTGAGTCTGTGTGAATGCACTTGTGCATGTCTGGATGACTACATGTGCTTTTTTGTATACAGTGTCTGTGTGAATGCATATGTGACAGGTGACAGAGTGTGTGAGGGAGAAGGTGACAGGTGGAAGAGTGTGGGAGGTTGTGACAGGTGGCAGAGTGAGGGGGTACCTGGTGGCAGAGTGAGGGAGGGGTTGAGTGGTGGCAGAGTGAGGGGGAGACACAGTGAGTGGGGGTGACTGGTGACAGAGTGAGGGAGTGGGTGACTAGTGACAGAGGGAAGGAGAGGGGGAGACTAGTGACAGAGGGAGGGAATGGGAGACTAGTGACAGAGGGAGGGAATGGGAGACTAGTGACAGAGTGAGGGAATGGGTGACTAGTGGCAGAGTGAGGGAGGGAAGGGGTGACTAGTGACAGAGTGAGGGGATGACTGGTGACAGAGTGAGGGGGGGGTGACTGTCACTAGTCACCCCATCCCTCTCTCTGTCACTAGTTACTCCCTCCCTAACTCTGTTACTGTGTCACCCGCTCCCTCACTCTGTCACTAGTCACCCCCTTACTCGGTCACTGTGTTACCCCTCCCTCTGTCACTAGTCACCCCCTCCCTCACTCTGTCACTAATCACCCCCTCTCTCCCTAGTCACCCCCTTCCTCACTCTGTCACTAGTCACCCCATCCCTCTCTCTGTCACTAGTCACTCCCTCCCTCACTCTGTCACTGTGTCACCCCGTCCCTCACTCTGTCACTAGTCACCCCCTCTCTCACTCTGTCACTAAGGACAGAGAGGGTGATTAGTGATAGAGTGAGGGAGGGGGTGACTAGTGACAGAGTGAGGGAGCAGGTGACACAGTGACAGAGTTAGGAGGGAGTGACTAGTGACAGAGGGATGGGGTGACTAGTGACAGTCACCCCTTCCCTCTCTCTGTCACTAGTCACCCCTTCTCTCACTCTGTCACTAAGGACAGAGGGGGTGATTAGTGACAGAGTGAGGGAGGGGGTGACTAGTGACAGAGTGAGGGAGCAGGTGACACAGTGACAGAGTTAGGAGGGAGTGACTAGTGACTAGTGACAGTCACCCCTTCCCTCACTCTTTCACTAGTCACTCACTCTGTCACCTGTCACTCCCTCACTCTGTCACTAGAGTGAGGGGGTGACTAGTGACAGAGTGAGGGAAGGGGTGACTAGTGGCAGAGTGAGGGAAGGGGTGACTAGTGGCACAGTGAGGGAAGGAAGGGGTGACTAATGAAAGAGTGAGGGAGGTGGTGACTGTCACTAGTGACCACCTCCCTCACTGTCACTACTCCCTCCCTCCTTCTGTCACTAGTCACGCCCTCCCTCACTCTGTCACATGTCATCCCCTCCCTCACTCTGTCACCAGTCATCCCCTTCCCTCACTCTGTCACCCCCTCACTCTTCACTAACCACTGAGCCTGAGCTAAGGAATGCATTATATAAACACAGACACTAGTGACAGAGAAGACTAAGTAATTCATTTTACTTACTAAATTTTACAAGGTCCCATTGTAAGTAAGGGGTGAAATTGAGTTTAGAACTGTCAAATTTACAAATTACGATCAAAGTAGTTGCCACAAAGACTGAGACAAACGCTTTGAACTGACAGCAAATCTAAGTTATGGTAGTCATTTTAGATAAGCCAAAATGATGTCAAAATCGTCATCAGGAAACGTTAACTCTTTCCTGGATAGGAAGGTTTAGTGAGGCGTGACTGCCCTCTATGGATCAAATACCTAAACTGCAATCCATAGATTGAACCCACCTTCAGTTTCCTATTGGCCTTATCAACAAATGACGTACAGAGAGTGTGGCCCTTTAAAAGTTAGGACAAAGGGAAGAGAGAAGTTAGTTGGTGGAGTTTGGGCATTCAGATTCAGACATGCAGAGAGAGAGATTCAGGACACTCTCTGTCACCCCACTCTCACTCTGTCTCCTTCACCACCTCCCTCACTATGTCTTAGTAACCCCCTTCCTCACTCTGTATTACTCACACCCCTCTCTACAACCAATCATAAGGCAGAGGGGTGATTAGTGACACTGATCTGAGGGGAATACACTAGTGAAGAGTTAGGAGGGAGGATTTATTTAATTAATCTAAATTAATTGACTTTGACAATCACATGATCCCTGACTGGATCACTATGATCAGATTCCCTCTTCTGTCACTTTAGTTAACTGTCAATAGTGTAGAGGGGGTTATTCTGACAGCAGAGGAAGGGGAACTAGTATATAGAGTGAGGATAGGAAGGGGTGTTAGCGACAGCTGAGGGAGGTGGGACTATTACTAGCTCTAAAATAAGATAAGATATCTTTTTAGGCAAATTAAAATTCGACTTATAGAATCTGGTAGATTATTCTTATTGGATGGTCCAGGAATGATTAATGAGTTGGTTCGAATGTTATTTTAATTGAAAATTACATGAGAATAGGATATTATATGCCTAGGAGGATCCAGCCAGCATTGAAAGGGTTACTCAGTTGATTTAACTGTTAGCCAAGGTTTTATGGCTTTTCGCTGTGTGAAGCTTTACTTTCTGTCTGTGAAGTACCCTCATAAATCTTATTAAGTGACAGGTGATGCTGTTAGCCATTGGAACGTTTATAGCCATTCCATTGTATTGCATACTTATGTTATACTAAATATTCACTGATTATTATCATGCATGCTGCCTAATATTATTGTTATTTTATTTGTCACAATAAATTAAATCTATTTTTATAGCAAATTGTGATTTTATTTGTATGGAATACATTTCACTTACATGATAACGATCTCTAAGATCCAAGAGAATTGAAATAGTGGGCGATTCTCGACTGTTTAATATTATCATCCCATAAATATCCCCACAAAAGACTGGACATACCCAATTTTACTGTCACTGGGTTGTGAATGACTATGACAGTGGGGGGGTGACTAGTGACAGAACACACTGTCCAGTGACTGGTTTTTCCCTATTTTGTTCGGTAACCAAACAAAACCATCCCATCCCATCGTTATACCTCCCGTACTCAACGCATCCGTATACTTTCTAACTTTGTTCACCCCTATTGACACCTTAATAACGATTCACACAAGTGCATGGAACTAAAATTGGACACTTTATCTTGTGAACACCACTAAACTTCCATCCTTGCCTGCATTTGTTTCTTTACATCCTGGAAGAGCACTGTTTGGTGAAATAGTTCGCAAGGATTAGGTGAACACTCTCTACAAAACAGCTAAAGCATATGTTCGGTATTTTATTAGTTTTTGTACTCCTAAAAGAGACCGACGGTCACCACCTTTCTCCTGGAACTATTTTGGGCAGGCGCCTCGTGTGCTGTCGGTCAAAACTTTACCCCTGTGGCGATTCGGCTGTGTTAGTTGAATCTGAGCAATTTTAGGATATGTTGTGCGCTCAGATCCAGGCTATCCGGGTATATAAGACTTGAGGGGATTCTGGTTGTATTATGTCTGTTTTCGGGTGTTGTAAATATTGTAGATTTTTCTGTACCTGAGAGATAATTGAGTTATAGTTTTTCTCATGCAATTATCTCTCAGGCACAGAGGATCTTTGGATTAAAGACCCTGATTTTTTGTGTAAGAAAACCCATGTAGGGGTCCATGCATAAAAGGCAATGTGTGGCCCCTAATAAAGTCAGTTCACTCCCAGAATTCAGCGTTCAGTCTCGACTAATGTCTGTGGGACAAAGCTATACCTGCTCTGGATTTAAACTTATTGGGAAGCTATACTTTTTAACAGGGTTACTACTGGATTTGCTGCAGCATAGTTCCTGAGAGGGGGGAAAAGACGTCCTTGGCGGCAAAACCCTTGTTTCTACCCAGGTAGCCGCCACAGTAATTCTCATTCCTGGGCTAACATACAGTCTCAAAGGCAACATAGGCCCAGCAAACCAATCTGGCAAATTTTAATATGTAAAATCTGTAAACAGGTAAAACCCTTACATTTAACGCTGTAACTTTCCACAACTCCATAAAAACTGTACACGGAGGGGACTGTTGTACTTGATAGACATCGATAAATACAAATATGTGTATTTTATTGCAGTAAAAGTTAACAGTATTATGTCATTCACAGTTAAAATGTCATGCAGAACTTAAAGAATTTAATTTCTTTATTTCTCAAAATGTTTTACATTTTAATCATATTAAATTATGTTTCATAATATTTGATGTGAAACAAAAGCCCTGTTTCTCATTAACAAAATGCTATATAATAAGTGTGGGTGCACTTAATAGGAAAGAGGTGAATTATAGTTGAACAGACTTAGAGTGCATGTATGGACGTAGCGGGAAATTTGATGCAAATAAAATAACATAGCCTACCCCAAATATCACCCCAATAACGACAAACACCCAATTTGGATGGAACAGGCCACAGCATTTATTAAACATAGAACTGATCCAACCTTTATTAACTTTATCATTTAATTATAGCCAGAGATAATACATAAATAATCCATAACTTAACATCTAGGCCCTACAGACTTTACATAAACTTCCTTGCCAATGAACAAGACCACGTGCCTATGCACGAATTTGCCCACTGGGTTCTCATCTCCCCCCTCATCCAAACCAAATTCCTTTTAATGCTTACCACCAGCCGGCTTTTAGCTTGGTGGGCACGTCCAAGTTGGTAACTGAAAAGTTTACCCCACAGAGCAGGGAGGATTGAGACCCGACCTTGTCCATCTCCTGACATATGTGATAGCGCCTCAAAACCTGTTGGCAAGGATACGCCCCCCCGCTAGCTGTGACAGACAATAACAAACAGAAAAGAGGGTGGGTGGGAGGGAGGGAAGTTGTTTGCAGGCACGTCTCCCAAAAGGCACTGAGGTTAGATGGTCCCTACCCCACTCCCACTCCCAAACCCATAACCACACACATACAACCAATCACAAGCATCCATCCCCACACTCATACATGTGCCCTTGTCCGCTTAGCTGTGCTATCTCCCCAGGGCCAAATTACAGGTTTTGTTTTTATTACAACATGTAAAATTGCCTCAGTTCTTAAGACCCCTGAGAGACAATCACACGAACATTTGTTTACCACAAATGAGGCCCGCATCCACATCAGCCGCAATAACCAGCCCAGCTCAAAGAACGCGTAGAGGACCCTATTATAAAACTCAACTACCAGAACCCGTGCTTTTAGAGAAATAACAAACCTTGACCATATTAAAACTTTTGGCAAATACATCTTAAACTTACAGTTTGAGTGATATCAGGCCATAGACTGAGCACATGAACACTTCTGCACACAGTCTCAGCCAAACACCAAAAGCCCATTCTAAAGCATCCTGAATACCGGCATAAAAAAATGTTCAAACCCAATACAATGAGGTGTACCCCATCGGGTAAAAAAACATGGGGAGAATTTTCCAGCTAAGCAAGTCTAATGGAAATACCACCGTGAAGTTAAACAAAACGGGAAATGGACCTCTTACAATCAATGCGCCTTAAAAAGCTAACGAGAATATTGTTTCGAACAAGGGCGAGGAGCAAGGAGTGAGGAGCATAGGGTAAAGAGAAAACTGAATGAAGCATGTTAAACAAGTCAAGGTCTGCCTCACAATAAAATCTTTCGCAAAG